ACTGACAAGACATTGTGTCCCTTGGAGAAAATGGGCTGGACACGTGACAGAAAACTCTAAACTCCCTCCAACCAGTTGTTGAAGAACGAATCCGGCTTTCATGAGCAGTTCCTTTGCTCACAGCTGGCTCTCTCAGGAAATGTGGGGTTTAGAAAGAGTGCAGACACTTATTCCCCATCTCAGGTGCATCAGCGTTGTAATAAAAACCTGCTTTTCTTTGTGAAGCAGCAACTACTATTTTAGTGCCCACGTATCACTGGAGCTCATTCAATTACCCTCAATGACTTTGTTCAAAATGAAGTGCTTTGCTTCCTAAGGACACTGTGGGAAGACTGATTAATGTGACTCCCCGAAGCACAGGAGTGCAGCTACACATGTGAAAACCCAGCGAGCCTGGAACTACTGCAGGACTATATTTCACAAACAAGTCAAACCCACTTCAAAGTACTTTGTGAAAAATAAGGACTCTTAAGGCAAATGGATGTAGCAGGACCACCCCCTCCCTTGCCCACCCCGCCTTAATTCTTGATGGCAATCACAGAATTAGAAAACGAAGAGGAGGAAGATAAGAAGTAAGAAAGACCAAATTTTGCCATATGGTTTTTCAGGGGTAGAGGAAAACAGCACTCTTTTTTTTTCCCCCCTGACACAGTGTTCCAAAGGATCTGTAACCAGCAAGCAAAGCCAGCGCATTGCTGGGTTCTGCCGCTTTGTGACTCAGAAGTCCCTTTCCCATCCAACATACTAAATGTCAAGTCAAATCCCTCCGATAAGAGAGAAGACATTTCTTCAGGAAGCCTGGCCCAGAGTAAGTGTCTCTCCTGTGCACATATGAGCTTCTGTGTTGGCTGCCAACCTGTACGAGCTGTGACATCCACCCAAGAGCTGCACAACAAGTGGACGTCACAGAGGCCATGGCTAGTCCACTATAAATCTTTCCCCAGACAGGATAATCATGGTTAAATATCCATTTAATCTAAGAAAGGAAAGCAAAAACAAAATGGAAAGAAGCATAGATTTTAAAAAGAGAGGAGGAAAAGTAAAAGGATTACAGGGATGTCCTATGCATGCATAGTATGCAAAAGCTGGAGATTGAGAGTTCTAACCAAATGCTTACACACTGTGTAATACACAAGAACGCATCCGTTCCAGGGAGGCCACTGAGCAAAGGGTAGTGTCTATCTGTCATCCATCATTGGCTTGCCTCTCACAGTGCTAAGACTCCCTGATGTGGCAGTGGAATTCAGAAAAAGGAACTTTAAAAAGCTTAGGAAAAACTAGAGCTGAAGGAAGGTAATTTGGCTGCAAACAAAAATAAAACCCATGCATACCAGGGATCTTCCAAAAACTCATGAAAATGCATGTTAATGAAAAAGCTATTCGTGGATTTTTACATTTTTTTGCACCAAAATAAATGTCTGCTAATTCCATTTTGCTATGGGAACTTTTTAAGTGCCCCCATACTTAAAGCTAGTTCTGGCACAGTTTGGTGGGGAAAAAAAGGGATAAAGGACAAGCAAAGAATTTTTGGAAGACTGTAAGACACTACTCTTTTATATATGTGTATGTGTGTATAACAGATTGATTTCTGTAAGATCTATGGCTAAAGTAGCAATATGATTGCTGAATTTTTTTTTATCTCTAGCACCCGTGACAAGAAACACTCAGCAACCCAATTATTTCCAGCAGGTTTTCTTCCACCCAGAAGGCTGTGCTCAAAATAGAATGGAACTTTCTCTCCCTTACCAATCTGGCAGGTGCCTAGGGCAAGGTAACCAAGAACTGAAAAGCTAGTAATTGTTGATCAGGCATCTCAACAAACAAAGTTTAACAAAATAAGACCCAAGGACTTGAACAAATAACTTCCACATTTTACTTGCGTTACTTGTGAGGCTCCAATGTGAAAAGGCACCAGACTGCCCTGAGAGACATAGCGGATATTGGGCTCCCTGCTAAAGAAGGGAAGAGACAGATTGGATAACTAGTTTTTCCAGTTTAGAGGAATATTTTAATTCAACTGTGAAATAACAAGAAAAATGCCACAAATCCAAGACCCTCACTATCAAGTCCTTTGGAGAGATTAGATGTCTAGCCTGAAAGTAAGTAGATAACCAGGCAGAATAAATTCCTAGGGAAGTAATTCTTTATGAGGCTAAGTATCTCCAAAACAGCAATACATCCAAGCACCCTTTTCTTATGTATTTTAGTCAAAAGACATGGAGAGGGACTCACAATACGCTGAAAATAATGAGATTATATTTTTGATGTACTGGAGCCTGGGGGCTGAGCATTTACCAGAAGAAATGCTCATCAAGAGAGCAGGTGTCCTATGAGAACCAGGAAGGGAGGGGGCAGAGCCGGCAGGGGGAATTTGGGGGCGTTTCCTTGCTGGACAGCTACTCCCACTGGAGAGTGTGAGCTGGGATGGGGCAGACCAGACTAAGCAGGGCTATAACACCTGTGCGCCTCATGTGGACTAGATAAGGGAAAAGCCAGGCTGGGCTGATTGTTCCTACTGGTGCAAACAAAATTAGAGTGGGTGAGAAGCTGGCAGAAGCTGGCACTGGGGTCTAATTCTGTCAAGTCAAACCACAGAACCACCAGCAGAGTGCATAATCTGGGAGTGGGAGAGACCTGGGAGGCAAATAGTGGGCTCCTCCCTCTTGGGTTACCACTCCCATGGGAGGGCACAAAAACTAGGACAGGGGCTGGGGTGGCTAGACAGAGAGGCACTCAACAACATTTGTGTGGGCTGGATAGTTGAGCTGGTTAGATGGAACTAAGCTTTAATACCCACTGACATGTACAAGAGCCAAATGGGATGTAGGACAGACTGGACTAGTCTGCCACACATACTGGCAAACCAGGGTAGGGGGCGGGCCTGGTGGGGGTTATTGTGAGTCGCCCTGACTAGGCTGCAGCTCCCACTGGTTTATGTGAGGGCCAAGTATGTGCTGGGCAGAACCAGATTGGACTGCAACACCCATTGGTTCCAGTGGAAGTCGGGGCAGAAAACAGAACCAACCTAGCAATTGCAACCACCAGCTGATTGGAGCGATGGACTATGGCGGGCCCTGTGCTTGCTAGTCCATACAAGAATATGGTCTGGGAACATCTGAAAGTTTCTTTGGGGATCTCCCCAATCGTAATGCCGGACTCAGAACCCTAACCAAGAAAAGACGAAAGACAGAACAAGTCAATCAACCACCTCAGCTATATGTTGGCAGTGAAAAACTAGGCAAACGGAGACTCTGTGATGGACTATGTCAATCAATGGATTCTTCAATGACCTCATCGTGCTTGGAGTGGCGATACTGGCAGTGATTCATAAATGGTGAACTATCAAAACCACTTGAACAAGGATCTCAGAGCATGCCCCACATCCGGGACCTGGGATGGGTGGGAGACTGGGTGGGGCTTCTCCCTCAATATTCCCTTTACCTCAGATATATGAAGGAAACAATATGGAAATAATAGCCTTACCCACTTTCCTATAGCCCTTGTACCTTTTTACCCTAGTTAATTATGTAAAGATTGCCAAAAATATAATTACAAAAGAGAGAGAGAGAGAGCAGGTCTCTTGTCTTTGTTGGCCAAATGCTATCCTTAAGGTCACCAGGCATGGTTTAGCACCACCTGGGCATGCAAGAATTCACTCCCCCACAGCTACTTCAGCTTAGACATTTCCTTCCAGCTCCAGACTCTTCTATCCCACTGCCCAATTTGCCCATGCTATCTAAAGAACACACCAAACTACACATGTCTAAAACCCAACTTCTTCCTATCTGTCCTCCAAAACAGACAGAAATTGGCACCTTCCAACTCCATGACCTTTCAAACACATGGGAACCAACCGTGTCTCACCACCTGCCTGTCTCGACATGTCCGAGGGGGCCAACCTCAAGACTCAATAGGTCCAACGTCAAAGAGCCCATCATCCGTCAGCTTCTCTGGACCCTCCAGGAGAGTTCAAGACTTCCACCACAGGAAGCCTGCACTGAATGACTGGGGACTCACCTGGCCCAGCGTCACACACCTAGTAAGTCCTTGGCCACCGAGCGTGCGTTAGGGTCTCAGAGACCGAAGCAGTACTTGATTCTGAGAGAGCTAGAACTTCACATAGGAGATGAGGTTTAGAGATAGAAGAAAGGCATTCCATCCAGGAGGATAAACCTTCCCTGGAAAGAAACTGCAGTGATGTGGTAAGCCCGAGGAAGGCGGTGAAGCAGGTGGTAGGTGGTTAGCTTGGGTACCAGGAGAGCAAAGGTCAGAGAAAAAACAGTCTCCCCCGCCCTCAACCCCAACCCCAAGAACCTGGGAGAGGGGCGTCTGAGAAGTTTGTTCCAGGAGATGGGCTGCTCCCAAAAGCAACCATTGTGGGGTTCTTAAGGACTTAGCCAGGCTCCATCTGCATCTTATCTCCCACTCCCAAGCACCCTGAAAACGAAGGCCAGAGACCAAACACTCAGAGGTTACCGTTGGACCACTCCAGGAGGCAAACGTCCAAGAAGTTCCGAAGGTGGGAAGGGAAACCTAGTTCAGTATGTAAGCAACACCAGGTTTTCCCTTGGGTTTTCCGGCATAGGTTTAAGTTCTCACGAAGGGGCTCGGCTTGGCACCCTTCGCCAGTGCCCCGCTTCGAGGGGACGTCAACTGAAGAGTGAATCCCTGCGGCCGCCATAAAGGCAATGGACTAACTTCAACACTAGAAACCCAGCCAGGCCTGTCTCTCCCTACAACCGCTGTTCTCTCTTGAGCCCTGGGCTCCACCTTCCTTGCCTGCTAGGTGGGGCATTTCCCGGGTCCTGGCACGCAATGGGTGCTCAATAGCCTTGGTTGCACGCAGACCCCCACTTGGCTCAGACCTTCCTTTTTTCCGGGCATGGGAGGATAAGACTGGTGAGCTCGCGTTAAGAGAGCACGCGGTGGGTAGAAAGAAACCAACGGGGCCTGCAGCCCCTGGGCGAGGTAGTGAACAGATGGCGCGGGAGGCGACTGACCTTTGGGTTGGGGCGCCCGCGCGGGGCGCAGCAGCTCGGCTCCAGCATCCCGCGCCCGCCACCAGTCGGCGACGCTCTGCGCCCGCTGCGCACGTAAGTCACCTGTCTCCTGCTGGCGCCACGCGGCAGCCCGGGCGCGGGCAGCAGGTGAGGCACGGGTGGCCGAGGCACCGAGACAGGGGCGGCGCTGCGGCGAGGGGCTCCGGGCCCGGGGCTCCGCAGCTTGGCGCAGAGGCGCAGGCCAAGCACAAGCACTGCGCCAAGCAGGCACCGACGGAGGGTGCCACAGCCCCTGCCAGGCGGCCTCTCCCGGGCCATGGCGGGGCCCCCGATTCCTCAGGGCTGCGCTCAGGATCTCGCGCGCGGCGCCAGGGCCTGAGTTGCCCAACTGCTGGAACCCACCCCCACCCCCGCAGGCCGGCGCGCCGCGGACCCGCCTCCCTTCCTCCCTCTGGGGCGAGGAAGGCCGGCGTAACCTAATCCTGCCCTGCCCGGTCGCTGGAAGGCGCAAGGGGCGGTGGGCAGGATAGTGGGGTCTCCCTGGGGCGCGGCAGCGCAGACAGGAGGCAAGGGCCTTGTCCCGCAGTGTCGTCCCTCACCCGGGCCTCCAGAGCCTTCACGCTACCGGGCCTGGCGATACGCATTCCTAAGGGATCCCACGGGACCATAGCCTGGGTCTCTGGCATTACAGTAACCCAAGCACAGTTAGGGTGGAAGAGGTGAAATGGCAGATCTGGCTGCAAGAAACAGGTTGTGATCATTAATGCGCTGGTGCCATTAAACACAGTATAAAAATAAATGGCACTTATGCTCAGCTCATAATTCCTCTTCTTCCAGAAAGAAGGGCGGGGTGAAGCTGGGGAGGGTTGGTGAAGGGCGAGAAGAAAGCTCCACGCAGAAGCAGCCAATTTCTAAATTGCGCCTGGAGCCGAGCCTGCCTTCTCCCCACGTTATGAAACTGCGGAGGTGGAGGAGGGGAGGAAAAGAGCCAGGAAGACATCTGACGTTGGGGAGTGGGGGACAGAAGTTGCCATGGAGCGCTGGAGAGCTAACGACTTTAGTTCCCAGCACGCACCGCCCTGCCACCTTGCAGGCGGGCACGGGACAAGTTTATCTCTGGGCAAAGATGCTCCCCCAGACTGCCCGCTCCATCACACTTGACCTTCAGGAATAGGACCTGATGCTCGCTGCGTAAGTCTGGCTCTGGATGGAATGTCTTTATCAGCCATTTGCCCTTACCCACCTTGGGGGTGGCTCTGGGTTGTTCTTTTTAGCACTTTCTCCTCCTCCCCTCCTACAACTCGTGGAGGCCCACCTCCACTCTCCAGTGGCATTTCAGAAATTTCCCAGATGGAACCCTTCTTTCTCTTTACACATCCTCTTCCCTCCGGACCTTAAGACAGATGCCATTTGTTTCATCACTGAACAAAGCAAAGTCTCCACTCAATCTGGGCCACCCCCAGTGCTCCTGATTCCCGCAAGGGACTTTGTGATTGACTTTTGTTTTTGTCTCACACACAAACTCCAAATGCAAAAGGTGAGAGAGGGCCTCACATTCCATGACCCTTGACCAGCACTGTATCTGACTTCTTCCATGGCGGGGCAAGTGCTGGGAGACTCAGGAGGAAGTACTAAGCTCACCCTGCCTTCCTGCCTTCCTGCCTGTAAATAAAACTCTGTTGCTAAGCCTTGGATACAAAAGGCACCTCCATATGGTTTGACCTGCAGAAGAAACTCATTGCCACTGTTCTGGGGGCAAACATTGCTGCAAGTTGGGCACCTTACATCAGGTTCCCAGATTCCTGCCAGCGTGCACCCTGGGAGGGAGCAGGCAATGCCTCAAGTACTCGGATCGGTGCCTCCCATGGCAGAGAACCATGGCAGTTCCTAGCGCCTGGCTTTGCTCTGGCCCAGCCCTGGCTGTTACAGATGATTGGGCAATGAGCCAGCAGGTGAAAGACCTTCCACCTCTTACATCCTTCCTTTCAAATAAAGAAATCTCCTTGTAAAATAGTCATTTTAAATTATTTACCAATAGAGAAAATGCTTGATGTTTTCACGAAAAATCAAGGGCAAACATTGAATCCAAGGTAGACAAGTGTAAAAAAAAAAAAAGCATAAGACTAAACAGAATCTTACCCAGTATGCTCTGGAATCTGAAGGGCCCAACAACTTCCAGAAAGCACCATCCGGATTCAAGAGCCCACAAAGGCACTGACCTCAGCTGTATATCTGTGTGATGTGTTTAAGACACAGTTTGTACAGCATTTGATAAACCTGTATCTGTGTCGTCAGATGTCAACTTCGTCAGAACTTTGACTTTCTAGGCAATGAACATAGTGTTACTAAGTGAACCAGTCATCTGAAGATCTGGAGGACTCTCTCACACACCTCTGTTGAGTGTCTGTCCCCAGGGTGAGGGTGCAGGGTTATGGAAGATCCTACTGAACTCAGATGGGGACAGTTAATAAGCTTCTGGTCCCAGGGTGGAGGACAGTGAGGGAGGTTGGGGGAGGTGCTTTCAGAACAGAGCAGCTTTTGAAGAGCATGAGCAAGATGACTTCATATTTTCCCTTTCCTCATTTCTATGGTTCTCTAATAAAATGTTTCCATTATGGGGGGAAAAGTCCAACTAGAATGCAATATTTAAATGCCCTTTTTCCTTATCTTTGATCACTGTGTCTGTGTGTTCATTACTAATAAAAGGGGCTGATAATAGGTAGGTAACATCACAAATTTTTCTAGAAAGAGATTTGTTTTTAGCTTCCACCCAATATTTTCCTGTATCGTGGATGATAACAAATTGTGAAACATGTTGGCTGCTGCAGCTGACAAGCAAGCTTTTCACTCATGACCTTCACCTTGCCATCCAGCGGAACTCATCTCAGTCACTTCTGGATATATTTCCAAAAATGCATATAATCATTAACTGCTGTGTCATAGGGTGGCTAATTAAATGTGCAGGTCAGTTAACCACAATAGCAGCTTGATAAAAGCTCTCTAATTACACACTCTTTCAGATTTCAGCCAGGGAGAAGAGTGAAACAGAACATTTTTGCTACTGGTCTCCTAGACACCATGCATTCCAACTTGGACACATGCTGTATAGCAAAGTTTCCGCACTGGGGTTGAATTTCCCTCCCAGGGGACTGTGAGCAATGACTGAAGATGTTTCCCATTGTTGTAACTATGGGAGGCGTAGTAAGAAGGTAGTAGTCTCTAATGGATTGAGGGCAAGAATGCTACTACATACTCCCCCAAAGCAAGGCTAGCTTTCTGCGATAAGGACGTATCGAGTCCAAAGTGGCAATAGAGGAGAAGCTGAGAAACTCTGCTGGGGTCACAGGTGCTAATGTGATGACTGAGAATTATAGATTGGCCGAAGAGAAAAGAGTCTAGTAGAAGGGAAACTTGCCTCCAAGTTGGTCCTCCCTGCTTCACCATGCAAAAGACACAGCTCAAATCAAATAATCACATTGACAAGGGGGACTAGACTAGAACAGTTGGCATCAGCCATCCCACAATCACTTAATCTCCATGTAATGCATGCTCACTGTGAAGAAAACTGTCCATCAGACATTTTTCTATGTACATGTGTGGCTTACAGAAATGAAAGGCAGAGTAGGCATTGGGCATAGCATGAGATGCAGCTTGGGACACCTGCCTGCATTCTAGTCTCATTCGGCTCCAGATTCTGGTGTCTCGCCAAGGCACACCCTGGAAAGCAGCAATGATGGTTGGGGTGGTTGGGTCCCTGCCACTCCTGTAGGAGACCTCAGTTGAGTTTCAGGGTCCAGTGTCAGGTGTTGCAGGCATCTGGGGAGATATCTCTCAATCTCTGTCTCTGTACCTCTCAAAAAACATATTTTTACAAGTGCAATTGTAATATACATATTTCTTTATAGTCTTTATTTAGAATGCACTACATTATATAGCTCACAAATTACATAATACAATATCTAGCAGGTACTTAAAAATGAGTCACTGAGGAGGTGGGAGACACAGAGGGGTGAAAATGAAGCAAGAGTGACTGAGTTCATTATTGTGGTAGCTACATGATAGGTTCACTGCTGCCTTATTAAGTCTATTCAAAATGTTGCATAATAAAAATTCCATAAACAGTAATCTATAAACTATAACCTTTTATTTTTAAAGCTTTATCTTTAATATTTATTTGAAAGGCAGATTTATAGAGAGAAGAAGAGATAGATATTTTATCTGCTGGTTCACTCTGCACAAGATCTCAATGGCTGGAGCTGAATCGATCCGAAACCAGGAGCCAAAGAGCTTCTTCTGAATCTCCCACATGGGTAAGGGGTCCAAGGACTTTAGCCATCTTCTGCTGCTCTTCCAGGCTGTAAGCAGAGAACTGAATTGGCAGTGGAGCAGCCAGGAGATGAATCTGTGCGTATATGGGATGCTGGATCACAGGGCAGAGGCTTAGCCTAGTATATCATGCCACCAAGCCCTAAATATCATTAAATAATAATACTAAAAATACATTGTGTGTATTAAGGGTTTGCAACACAATATTGTAGAATGCAGATGATGAAACAGCCATCCTAGAGAGATGCCTAACACATTCCTTTTGCCACCTAGTTCGTCTAAGTGGAGGGAAAATAAGAGCAACCAAAATCTATAGTAATCCCCCTACCCCTTCTGCATATGGGAGATGTCCCCAAACTCCTAGTGGAGATCTGAAGAGACATGTTACAAGAGAAGTTACATAAGCACGGCAAAACCAAGATCAGCCCATTTGGTAACTGAGGCAGCTGCTGAATGACTAGTGAGCAGGCTAGGTACAGAATAAAACTGAGCTGGGCAAAGGGATGATTCACCACCGGAATGGAACAGAATGGGACAGTGCAGGATGTCATCCCCCAACCACAATGGTGTCCCATCTAAAGCTTATGAATTGTTTATTTCTGGAATTTTCTATTACACTCTCGGAACACAGTGGACTGAAGCTGACATTGCAGAAAGTGAAATCCAGGTAAGAGGGGACTACTGCATTCACTAAACAAAAATCTCTGGTGCAGTGACACTTGATCTTAGGCAAAAGGCCAAGAATTGATGCAGCGTAAGTCTATTACCGTTCAGTTCCACGGCTGCTCTCTAACCCTCTTGGGCCCACATACCTATGTTTGGTGTCTTTTAATCTCTCCTTTTCTTTCCCTCCCTTCCTCTGCCTGTGGTAACTGCCCTTTCATTTTCTGTGGATTTAAGCTCTTTGTAGAATATGATTCTCCCAGGGATGGGTGTTTAGCACAACAATTTAGATTCCTGCATCCCATTTACAGAGTATCTGGATTTGAGCC